ATTCTTTTTGTCAAGTGTGGGAAAAGCTCCCTCCTCGAACACGGTGCTGGCAGTTTTTGAAGTCCTTCCACCAAATATAAAATTCTAACTACTTTTTAAACAGTTGGGGAAAGCAGCTGATTCATTAGCTGTGTACTTGTAAGCGTGTCCTCTGAGAAATAAAACCGACTGAATCCAACTGTGCTTTTGACTGAGCGCGTATAAACTGGACGGCAGCCCAAACTCTAACAGCCGTAATTACAAGCAAGGTGGGATCGAACTTCCCGCAAGTTGTTAGAGGTGTCAGACGAAGCCTGAAAGAAAGTTGGCAGAAAACGCTCTGGCTCCAGGTGAGGCCGGCGGGTTCGCCTGAGCCGAAATGACTGGGTCTTTTAGTTCTGAAAAGCAGGCACGGTTGTGAAAGTGGCACTTTCCAGCGCTGCCCTTTTGCAGCCACGCTCGGTGTTCCAGGAAGGAGTGCACGGGGCCTTTGCCACACTTCTGCATAGTTTTCAACAGCTCCAGTGTCATCACCTTGACGACCGGGACGCTGCTTGGTCGTTGGGAGTAGAGTTAAGTAGCAGAAAATCTCAATCCATAGGCCTCTCTCGGAGGGGAAACAATCCACGGCGGCTTCAAACAGGTAGGATACCTCCCTCCTTCTTTCCTGCAGCTGGAAATGCTGCTTTTAGGGAAATGCATGGGTTATCCCTTCGAAAGGCATACGGGATCGTTGCACCAAGAGCTACGAAGTGGGTGTTTGGGGAGGATTCATTTCTATCCCAGGCTCATCCCCTTTGCAAGAAATACTGACGTGGGTTGTTCGGTGTGGCATTTTTTAAGCAGTGATGGAAACAAGACTGGGTGGCTGAGCAGTTCTTGAGTTGGTGGAGAAGTTGGCTGGTGTGCCTGAATCGCCGTTCTCCTGTGTGATGCTTCATGGTGTGCCAAGGAGCCACGCAAGGTTCAGCCCTTGTGCCTAAGCTGCGCATTAATGCCCAAGGCTGACCTTGTGTTTCTGTGCATGCTTCCTAAAGGACCATCCCCACTGTCTAGGAAGGGCACGGATGACTGCAGCTTTTCTCCCATGGAAATCAACAGCAGCTCCTTAAAGTGTGTACCTTCGACCAGGCGGAGGTGATGCGGTTTTGCAACGGCTTCTTGTCTGAGGGTGGGAGAGCTGTAATTGCGGGTGGTGTGGACAGTTTTCCCGGCAAGGAGCTTCCAGCCGAACCCAGGCAAAGGAGAGCACGCAAGAGGAAGTGGATAGGCGAGGCAGTAAACCACACCTGCTTGGTTACCACTGGAAAATGTAGCTTCTGATGGAAGCCAGAGAAGAGGAACCAAGAACAAGTTCGCTGTGGTGCGTTATTGCTGTTTCTATTTTCATCCGCCCCCTCTGAAATCGGCCAAACAGCAAAGGAGGTTCTTCACCTTCGCCTTCCGAACAGCCATGTGAGGTAGGCAGGGCTGACATCAGCCCTGGAATGGCAGCTGGATGCACGTGGGTCTCCCGGTGATTCCATAAGGTCAAGGCCAGCACCAGCGTGAAGGGCGTGCTCAGCTAGACATCTTCGGATTTGCCCCCCCGGGGCTGCAATTTTCCCAACAGGCAATGCCCCCCACCCCCCTTAACCATTCCCAAGTCCTGTGGGTAAAAGGCATGAGTTCCAGAACTGGATAAAGTCCGATGGGGGAATCTACCCAATGAAAAATAAAGTGGATCTTGGTGCATCAGAAGCCTTGGATCTGTCGATGAAGCTTAAATCTTTCTTGCCACTCTTGTGTTCCAATGGATCCTTTTCAGCAGTACTTGTAATAAGCCAGGTTTCACCTAGTTCCATTTTTATGTTTAGCAGGACCTACCTGCAGAACAATTTTAAGTGACTTGTTGTTCTAGTCCGTACTCAGCTACGGAGCTCACTGGGGGCAAGTCATGGACTCTCAGCCTAACCCACCTTACCGGGTTGTTGTTGCGAGGATGAAACAGAGTGGGGAAGGGTTTTGTCAGCCATCCTTGGTTCCTTGCAAGAAGAAAATGGGCAGGGGAGAAACACCATGTCAAATGCAAATACAAAGTAATAATAGATTCGCTCTTAATTCACCCATCCCTGCCTTTGTTTCCATAACGAAGGTGCTGAAATGAAAGGACGGGTCAGGGTAAAACCAGGAATGGATTTTTCCTTTGTTGGTGAACTTCTAGTGCCGAGGACAAATTCCTGGACGGAATAATGTGCTCAGCAGACTTCCTGTTTGTTCATCAGAAATGGCTGTCCACTGTTTTGTTGCCGGCTGTAATGATGGACCGCAACGTTGTCGTAAAAATTAAGCAGAGCCTACAAACTGGACATTTGCCAACCTCTCCATTAAATCATCAGATCCCAATTGTCCATGGAGAGGCAGGCTCCAGTCAGAGCGGGAAGAGCTACCTGGGAATGTGAAGAGTCCTACAGGGCTTTGCTTCTAGGGACAAGGCTGCAGAGGAGCTGCGTTCCAAGCCTTCTGGACCAAAGGACCCGCAGGAGATTGAGGACACAACCATGTGGGAGATTGGGGGGTAGCTTCCCGCAGAAGGGCCTTTTGGGTGGTGGCACCCCGACTCCCCAGGAAATTTGCTCCCCAGGGAGGGTCACCTGGCGCCGTCACTTTATTCTTTTCAGCGTCAGGCAAAAATCTTTTTATTTTCCCATCATTGTAATGTTGAATTGGTTTTATTCTGGGTTTTATTATTGAGGGTGGATGCAGTGCCTTGATTTATGTTTATGTTTTTGGTTTTTTCCTTTTCCTTATAAGCTGTTCCGAGACGCTTGTAGTGGACGGCCTAAAAAACTTTTCACAAATGAATGAGTGAATGAATGAATGAATGATTTTAATGTACACACTAATGGATTGGAGGTTCTTCTGCTTAATTATGATGGATGATTAAATGTATCATAAGCAGTTTGGCCGGCTTCCATTTCTATGGCCAGCCACCCTCTTTGCTTTAACAGTGTGATGCCAGACAGAGATCCAGCAGCAAGCAAGCCACCCTCATCTCTGCGGGCCTTTGCTGAGAATGGTTGAGAGGGCTAATTTTTGTCCGTTACTCAATTATCAGAGCTACTAAAACTGAAAAGCCCCAGCATCAGAGCTGCCGCAAGCACCCAGCGGCAGCAAATTAGGATCCATGTATTTTGTTCATTGCTGCTGTGCTTCTGTTACCTGGCAGAGGGAAGGGGCTGGTTCAGGTGCACGGAGGCCAAGCTGACCTGCCTGTTGGGTGCCTTTCAGTCAGTTGCAACCATACTTCATATCGGAATAGTGGGGTTTAAGGAGCTAGTCATTGTTCCAGCCCCCTGACAATGTTGGTGCCAGCGGTGGGCTCTTTGCTGCCCAGACTTGGCGGCAAAACGTATTTGGGACAGTCCTGGTTATAAGCAAACGCCAGACATGAGCCCTAAAGGCAGGAGTTCCTTTGCATGTCTCATATCCATCTTTGCACTCGGGGTGGCCAATGACTTCAAGAACAAAGATAGCAAAGGGGCTCCTGAGTTACCCACCCTGACCTAAAACATGAGTTGATTAAAATGGAACATGCAGGTTGCAGGTTTGCAAGATCAATATCGTTTTAGTAGCATCCTGAGGTCCACCAGCAAGACACGGGGGTCAGATAGCAGCTCACTCCAAGAATTAAGGAAGAGAGTGCCTCTGGCCATGCACAAAGTGCAGAAATGTGCACTTGGTATCAGAGCAAAGCTGACAACAGCTTTCAATGCTACCGCCAATCCTAGTCCCTCTTCCCCAGAATTCTTTCCCAGCAAGCTCTGTGTGTGTGTGTGTGTGTGTGTGTGTGTGTGTGTGTGTTAGGGAGGGGTTAAGTAGTAATAGTAGTTGTTATTAATTACATTTCTATACTTACCATAGCCAAAGTTGTCAGAAAGTCTTGCTGATCAGCTGCCAATCCGCCAGAGATCTCGCCAGTAGATCCCAATCTGCCTTCTGCCTGTATTAAAGCAATAAATCAATATGACATTAATAAAGAGATGAATGCACAGGACAAGAAGCAGTGTCTTTTAGAAGAATACACTCCCTCCCAGGAGTTTTCTTAAAGCCCTGGACTTGCTGCAGCAAACGCCACTGGCTGAACCCCTGCGACCAGCCAGACTTAGGAATCTGCCATCGGACTGTGAATGGGCAGACAACTCCGGATGCACCAGTTTTCCTTTCCCGGCTGCCCTTTCCCACTGGCTGTCAGGGGGCAGGATGTGGGCGGTGGGGATGAGGCAGACGCACCAGGGCCAGGGCCACCGAACCTGAGGCAAGCCAGGGTCCGAGGTCCAGCAGCAAGACTCAAAGGCCAGCCCAAGCCACAGTCACAGGGTCAGGAACCAGAAGCGCATCCCAGGGCGGGCAAGGACATGGCCAGGAATAGGCTGAAGGCTGAGTGGCAGGTAGACGAAGGCAGGGCAGGTCCCTCAAGGCAGGGTACCTGGGCAGGATAGACAGTAAGGCAAGGGGCAGGCAGGATGCAGGAGCGGAACCAACGCTAGCGGGGGGACTTCCACTGCCGAGGCAGCACTGCGAGGCAGGAGAGACAGCAGGGTCCAGGTGCAGGATGCGAGCGCCACAGCGACCGGGGCACCGGCTTGGCTGAGGCTAGTTCTGGGGGGAAGAGCTGCCGCTTATGGGGCTCGCCCCCCAGGAGTCCCAGCTGGCACCTGTCAGTGGACTGAGGCCTCCAGCAGGTCCAGGGACTGATCCTGCGCATCCTGGAGTGCAGAGCAGCCCCGATCCTGACGTGGGTTTTCTGTTCCCCTCTCCAGCAGTCTAGCAGTACTGTGCCACACTCTGTGTCTTGTGGGACTTTCTAGAGGGCTTTGTACTTCTAGACCGGAGGGGTGCGTGTGTTGGCTCACCCCAGAGCATCGGAGATGGAGGGAAGAGGCTTGGAGTACTCCAGACTGTGGCTGATGGGTCATGGTGATCTTCTCTTCCACCTCCACAGGGCTATTCATCCTTCATCTGATCGCCCTGCTGTGAAGATGTCACAGTCTTCCCCCGTGGATGAAGGCACGACCTTTGAGCATCTCTGGAACACCCTGTAAGTGGCACCCATCTGTTATTTGCACACACTTCGGAGAGGGATCAGTCCCCTGCCTCGAGGAACACACACTCAAGAGGTTGGGACATTGGGTGTCTTGCTCTCCTGAGGGACATATGCCAAAGCAGAGAATGTCCTCTCCATATTGGTGCCCGGGCCGGATTTTGGAACCGGCATCCCAAGCAATCCACCTGGGGATTCAGGGCTCAGGGGATTCACAAGCTCTCACCTGCACAGGAGAAGCGGAAGATGCAGTCAGTGCGATTTAGCTCGGGGAAACCGCGTGGCCGGTGGGACCTCCATGGCATCCTGCTCCAGGCAGGAACCTCCAGAGGCAGTGGCAAGATTGCAGGACCCTGGCCAGCTCCCAGGGGAGCCGAGCTCGGCCGGCCGGCCGCTGATACGGAGCGGCAGCTAAGAGGGTGGGAAACGGTCTTGACCAGGCTGAGGTTCTGAATGGTCCATCGCATGAGAAAGGACCATCCCGTGTTGCAGGTGACTCTGAGAAAGACCACAGTGCAGGCCTTAGCTGGGAGTCTCCTGATGCTTCAGCGCAGTTGCGAAGGGTGCTCCCCCGCCCTGTGGGAACTGCTGTGCAGTTCCGGAACTGTGGAGCCCCCCACAACCACCCCTCTTCCTCTGGCCTGCTGCTGCCTTCTCTGCCACCCCCCAGCGATGCCCCCCTTCACTCCTCATGCCCTCCGATGGCCACCCTCCCTCCGCAATGCCTTGCTCGAGGGGTCCTTTCTCAGAGCAAGCCACTGGTGCAGAGGTGGCCCCACCGTCCACCTGGTGGACTTCAGGTCCTGCTGCCTGAGGTGGGAGGTTCACGGAAGGGCTGGTGCGGCCAGCGACACCTGCTGAAGTTCCCTCTTCCACACAATGTGGAAGCCCGTTGGCTTTGCATCTGTCCACCCGACCTCCTTGAGGAACCAGGAGCTTCCACGAGCTCCTGCACGAGCTTCCAGACCCTGAATCCAACCTTCTCAAGTTTCCAGTGCTGATGGCCAATGCAGATGCCCAGAACGAGATGCAGAAAGTCGGAGCTGGGCTTTAGTGTCGGCAAACTGAGAGGTCCGCTGATCGTCGCACGATCTGGGGTTGAAGAGTTCGTTTGACTGTAGACCTAAAGTTTTCTGAGCAGCACAAGGTGGAGTGCTTGAAGAGAGCAGACCACACTTTCTAACGTCTCGCCCCGTTTTTATACAGGGAACCCGACAGCACCTACTTCGACCTCCCTCAGTCAGAGCACACGGCGGGCAGCGAAACTTCTAACTGCAGAGAAGTCACCATGGACGTCTTCCAGATGCGCAGCATGAACGATTCGGTGATGGTAAGTGACTGCGCCTGATCAGGTGGCAGAGGAAGGATGGCGGCCAGGAGACGGTAGAATGGAGGCACCACTCCAGCCTGAAGGTGTGTGGATGTGGAAGAGGAAACCGCATCTTCCAATTCTCCCCCTGAAAACAAAAACAAAGCTCACCTCCCCACAAGTAGAAAACTAGTGCAGCAAGGTCATGGTAAGACTAGCTTTCCTCACTGTATTGCTATACGTCTGTCGTTTTCTTCTGTAAAGGAAATTCAGAAACTGTATCCTCCATCTTCAGGCTATCCATTCTACTATCTCAAGGCGTTTTGGAGTGTAACTTTCCCTGACTATTGGCCACGCTGGCTGGGACTGATGGGAGTTGCTGTCTAAGATGTCTGAAGGGAACCACACTGGGAAATGGATTGCTCCAAAGAGCAACTTCCAGTGCTTTAGAAGGAATCTGCTGCATTCCTTCGAAACGGAGCTACAATTATCCTGAGTTTGACCAGTTATCGGTTAAGAATAACAAGCTTCATTCTGGGATGCAAAGTTGCTCGCATGGTTAATAGAGATGCTAAAGTATTTTGGGGGGTTCGTGTTTTTTGGGATACCTCCCAGGTAATTCATGGACTGGAATGCAGTGACCCTTCGGTTTTGGCAATTTTGTTTAAGCCTAAAAATGGGCAGTTTTTGGGGGAAAAAAGTATCTTTAAAAATAGTGCATTCTTTCTAGGTTTTTTTAGTTGCAGATGGATGTGTGAATTAAACAGAATGGGCTTTCAAATGAATGTTTGTGGAAGTGATATTAATAGACTGATCAACCCATCCCTCGTTAGAGTTATGTAAATTCTGTTGTTGTTTCTAAGGCAAAGTCAAGTTCTGTTCCAGCTCCCACACACCTTGACATCCCATGTAGGAAAAACGGCTATTACCAGCTCCCCATTAAGTATTCCTCAGGCCCCAAAGAACTGGTCCAGATTACATTTTGTAAATTGCAAATTCTCTTCAGCAAAAATGCAGAGCTTTAACCCAGTTTGGCTTTTCACTGGCTGTGCTTCTGGACCCGCAAAGTTTTTATTGGCCTGAGCCACAAGGGGTGGCTGTTCTCCTTTTCCCCGATCTTGAAGATTTTTCATAATTACACAGATTGTTTTGGTCAGGAAATGTTCTTTTGCTATGGCAGGGTGGGGCCATTGGTATGGGACCCAATCCTGGGAGGAAGTCCTTCTGAGTTCCATGGACTTTCTTCCCAAAGAAGCAACACTGCAACACCTGATCACTGAAATATGCTCTTAATATTTAATTTCTTATTTAAATGTCTGTTGTGCCCCTTTTTATATCAGTACACTCAAGGGTGCTTCCAAAAAGCTTAAACATCCTCAGTTGCAGAAAAAGCCAGCCAAAAATGAAGAAAAGACACTTTTACTCCACACATTGCAAGAAAAATATAAGGCAAAAACAAAAATTTTAAAAGAAGGACAAAAAGCGCACTGAAACATGGAGAGAGTTTTCAGATAGCTGCAAAAGCTTTTTTGCAGAAGAGAGGCTGGTCAGCATTTGGTGTTTGCATTCTTTCTCCTCTGCTTCCCCTCTTGACCCAGGCTGGTGTGGTTCACGTACAAATCAGTGGCAGATTGGAAGTGGGGGACCCTACACAACAGCCAGAGCTGCCCCTCAAAGCCACGCCCACTCAAGCCACGCCCCCACCCAAGCCACGCCTCTTTCCGAGATTACGCAACCGATGATCACACAATAAAAACAAGCTTTGTCACTGCGTCTGAATTTGCTGAGTAATAAATGCAAGAGGAGGGTATCCCTTTCCGAGGTGAATCAATGACAGCTTCTGGAAATTATTTCTTATTATCCCGTTTATTATGAGCAAATTATTTTTTAAAATTACACTCCTACCCTGCTCTCCAACCAAAAAGCTCCCTGAGTGGCTTACATGGAATTAAGAAGTCAGTTCCTGCCCACAGAGTTGCTCTCTAAAAACATGATTTACAAGGAGAAAAGGGACAGGGGGTGGGGAAGAGGAACAAAAGGAAACTCGGGAACGAATTAACCATATTTATAGGAATACAGGTAGCTCTACTCTCCCAAGACAGGCAGTTTGGATTGGCAGTCGCTGTTCAGCTTCTTTTAACAGTCTGGGCACTCTGCACCATGGACTTGAGATGTGCATATGTGTGTGTGCGAAACCCCCCGTAAGCCCAGAGTTTCGGGATTGCAGTTTCTCAAAATATCCAGTCCTCTTTTCTTGTGCTCTCATTGGATCCACACTGAATCATGCATAAAGTCGCCTAAAGGACGTAAGAGGAATGGAAGGCTATCAGAAGCACGGCCAATCCTTCCCATTGATTCCAGTGAATCTACTCCAGTCACGATACTTTTATTCCGCTTTAGCGATCATTTCTCCCAGTGAACCAGCACAGTTCAGGTAGACCACATCAAGCAGATTCCTTGTGGATTGTCCAGCTATTAGTGCCCGTTCCACCAGGGCTAAAAAGTATTGTCGTGAAGTGATGAAGGGACACAATCCTGTGCCCACTTTCCTGGAAGTAAGACCCATCAAGCACATCTGACTTAGAAAGCATGCAGGGAACTTGATGGCATGGAATTTGATGGCTGTGTTTGATTCACAATTTGGATTCATTTTTGGGGACAGCAAAAAGTGCCGGCATTGACCTGAAAAGCTCGACATGTTTTGGGCCTTTGGTACCTGATGGAACACTTTCTTGCATGTGCCTTAATGCAGAATGTCTTTCAGCCCAAGGGCTAAATTCCACTTCAGAGAAGCTCTGGGGTGGGCAACCAAGACAGAAGGGACAAGACCAAAACGATGAGCATTTCAGCTTAAAGTGCTGACTGCCAGGAACTATGGCTTAGGAGTAGCATTTTAAATTTTCAAAATGTGGGGAAAGGGTCTGCAAGACGCAGGAAATCGCTCAAGCGTTGGCAGTTAGAGGGGAAAGAAGGCAGAGCTGGCAACGTGGGCATAGCCATCTAGGGAATCCTAGAGGAGCACAGATTGGGCTCCTGCACTTGCAGTTTTTCTCCGTGCCTTGATGCGGTTTGCTTCAGCTCTATGACGCATTTCAAGCTGCGGGTTGTACTGATGTTCTGCACGGCAGCCTGGGCTGCAGGATTTTGCCATGGGCCGCCTCAAGGCCACTTTCTCAGGGAAGAACTGTGGGGAGGGATCAGCACCATGGAAAGCTCCAACTGGACGGGGGGCGGGTGGGTGGAAAGGCTCCAACAAGGAACATGTCTGCACCGAGCCTTAAAGAAGAGTGTGGTTGCATTTCGGCTGGTTAGCCATGTGCTTTCACGGATTAATGCCCTGTCTCTGGAAGCTCCTTGGAGGACAAGGGTTGGGCTTCCCTGAGGATGAGATTTCAGGTTCCTTAACTTGACACACACGCTTGATTCACAATCTGAAGTTTTGAAGGGGGCCATTTCAGTGCCTTTTCGGTGATGGTCCCACAGCAGGGAGATGTTTGGCTTCAAGAAGCTTCCTGGTGTTCACCATTTTGATGTCACATTAAGACTTTTTTGTTTTCTCAGGCTTTTTAAGTCTTGTTCTGTTAGTGCTTGCTGGGTGGCCGAGCTCCTGAACGTATTTTTAAGTTTCTTGGGTTTAGTTTCTTGAACTTATTTTTATCTTCTTGGCTTTCTATGGTATTCCATGGTGTCTATACTTGGGCAGCTGGTGTTTTATGCTGGAATGGATTTAGAGTTGGATTTTTAATTCTACTCCATTTATTAAATTGATTTCATGCAACACCCAGAAAACATGCTGTGCAAGGGATGGAACAAATCTTAGTAAGATATCAAGAGTCGGCCCAGATCCATGGGACTTGAGTTTAAGTACATACAATTTTGCACAGAAAACCAATTGCCTTGATCCAAGCAAGATTAAATGAGTCTGCCCTTCCAATTATGATCAACCAGATGGTTCTTCAAAAAGCTTTCTTGTTGTTGGTCCTTGGAATATGCTATTTATCGGTAGACTGCCTCTGAACATGTAAGTTCCATGGATTTAACTATTGGAAAAAACTACTGCTGATTCATGAATTTGCTTAATCCCACTTTAAAGCTGTCTCAGTCTACATCTACCAACACATCCTGTGGAAGCAAATTTCAAACTCTATTTTATTTATATAGAGATTTCTATCCTGCCCTGCCTATACCAATATGCCGTAGTTTACAACAATGTAATGCAGTGTCATAACTTACTACCAAACTATGTTAAAAATGCAAAGCCATCACAAAAATGTAACAGAAAACAGCAGAGTTTTACCCACCAATGAGCAGAGCTGGCTGGAGCAGGGGTCAGACTAGATGGTCTGGGAGATACCTTCTGAGCCGCTGCGTTTCTATGTAACACAGAGAGGCATTGCATACATCTTAACTGTATTTATCCTACCCCATATATAAACTCAGCTCTAAAGATACTCACCTATCAATATCCCATAAGATGTAAAGATAAACTCAGCTCTAAAGATACGCACCTATCACTATCCCATAAGATGTAAAGATAAACTCAGCTCTAAAGATACGCACCTATCAATATCCCATAAGATGTAAAGATAAACTCAGCTCTAAAGATACTCACCTATCACTATCCCATAAGATGTAAAGATAAACTCAGCTCTAAAGATACTCACCTATCAATATCCCACAAGATGTCATAAATAAGCTTACTCAAATTTAGCTGAATTGCTAAATTAATTGCAATTAATTGCTTGATTAATTGCTTAATTAAGTAATGGGCAAAGTCTACAGTGCCACTGTGGGGTATAGTAACCCCAGTCAACGTCAGTTCAGACTTGGACCAGTTAATGGAATAGCTGGACAAATAGCCAAAATTATTAATAATCTGCATCAAAGCAGGGAGAGACAAGTGCAGTTGTCAAGTGAACAGGAGATCACTGGCATAAATAAGAAGTATAAATTCTAAATACCTGTGAATGAATCTGTGAATACGGGTGAGTGGAGTAAGTGGAATTCCTGCTTGGTACTTC